GGGGGGATTAAATGGTGAGGGCTAAATCGCTTGACCTAGTTTATTATTTGAAATCTGGACATGTTTCTTTGATTAAACAAAAGATGCATCCCTGTCTGTGTGTGCGTTTTATGTAATGCATTTTTACTTAACAAAAACTGAAGTACATACATATAAGGATACGTGTGTGTGTGTATGATGTAAATATGTATACGATCGTACATGCAAACTAGTTCAACCAGTAACCCAAAAAAGAAAAAGTTAAAAAAAAATAACAGTAAGTGATTCTCCTCCTGCAAATTTAAAAAGACCAATCTCAGTTCTGCAGTCAGCAAAGTATTATCACAGAAAATATATGATGCAAACAGTAACAACAGAGAACAAGATAATTTTACGTCGCCCTCCCTTTTGTGAAAATGAAAGTCCTTGATCATGCCAGTTGGTAAAAAACCCTGATACATGTAAGAGCAGAAAGAGTATTTCTCCAATGAAACTTCATTTTTTTTCCTCAGTTAAAAAAATATATATATATATTTATATATATATATATATATATATATATATATATATATATATATATATATATATATATATATATTATAAAGGTCCCCCATCCCCCCCTTTCCGAAAGCCTGACCATTAGTGATGGACATATTTAAAAAAAAAAAATTTTTTGGGGTCTCAGACATAATACTGCGGTCTTAGAGCATACCTCTACAAAACAGGCATAAAAGAATAGACCAATTAGGATTCAATGGGTGATGTGGCCGACACCACGCCAGTCACCTTTACTTTCAGACATTACCCATGTACTTATTTTAGGCCATTGATCTGAGATCATAAATTCTTTGTTTTCCTCCAATCAGTCCGATATAGATCAGAACCAGAAACCTCTGAGATGGCAGGCTAAGTTCTAGTAAATGACTGAAATGATCTACTGACAAAAATATACCTAAAACAAATGGAAAACACTACCAGCCTTGGTCTAATTACCAGCCTTGGTCTAATTACCAGCCTTGGTCTAATTACTAGCCGAGGTCTAATCCCTAGGCAAGGTCTAATCCCTGGGGAAAGTCTAATCCCCAGCCAGGATTGAATCCCCAGCTGGGGTCTAATCCCCAGCCGGGATTGAATCCCCAGCTGGGGTCTAATCCCCAGCTAAGGTCAAATGACTAGCCAGGTATGTTCTTAAACACCTAGCCAGGTATGATTTTAAACACCTAGCCAGGTATGTTTTAACATCTAGCCAGGTATGTTCTCAAACACCTAGCCAGGTATGTTTTAACATCTAGCCAGGTATGTTCTCAAACACCTAGCCAGGTATGTTTTAACATCTAGCCAGGTATGTTCTCAAACACCTAGCCAGGTATGTTTTAACATCTAGCCAGGTATGTTTTAACATCTAGCCAGGTATGTTCTCAAACACCTAGCCAGGTATGTTCTGAACTGTGAATCACAACCTCTACATCATAATATGCCTTTCTGGCAATGGTCTCTACAGGCGAGGCTTGGTGCTACAGAGAGGGAGGATTTCATCACTGGCATTAATTCGTATCCCCATGAGCACGGTTCCTTAGGGTCTTATAACACAAAGAAACATTATCATCTAAAACAGCAGTTCTCAACCTGTGGGTCGCGACCCCTAAGGGGGTCAAATGACCCTTTTCACAGGGGTCGCTTAAGACCATCGGAAAACACATATTCACTGAAGTTATAAAGTAGCAACGGAAATAATTTTATGGTTGGGGGTCACCACAGCATGAGGAACTTTATTAAATGGTCGCGGCGTTAGGAAGATTGAGAGCCACTGGTCTAGAAAAATGGAAAGTTGCCAACAAAAAATGTATAATGTCTTAGTACCAGCCTTGAACCTGCTGCTGGTTCTCAAGCTTGGAGAGGGGAAGGGCAACTCTGCAAAAGAGGTAACCTCTGAAACCGATTTACACAATAATCTCTAAACCTCATGTGAACAGATCTCAACCCATTTCAGGAGTTTAAATTCCAGATGGTGTTGACCTTTCAAGGGTCTACTTTTTCTTTCTTCAACTTGTATACATTTTAAAAAAAAAAACTAGTCTGCAGAAAAACCTTTAGAGCAGCTTTACTCCAACAGATTACTCCCATTTTCAAGCCAACACATTGGACATAAAATTCAATATTCCAGGCAATGTCGAACTTTCAAGGGTCTACAGTATAAAAACATTGAAAGTTTTTTTTAATTATCACAAACTGATAGACAAAAGTAATTTCTTTGTACACATTATAAAAAGTTGAATGGGGTACTGTTCCACGAAAGACTTTAAAAGTGTTTTATTTTTAAGCGCAACAGACCAATAAATGAAACAAATAAAAGGGGTTAAACACGTACACGAAAGTTTAAGAAGAATGAACCTTCATGCAGATATGAATATACAGGTTAAATGTTACAAAAATAAAACTGTATAGTGAATAACATACAACTTTCAAACAATCGTAAAACAAAACATTCACAATGCCATTATTTAGTTTGGATATAGTTCAAATAAAGTGCAACTAGGAGAGACAAAACAATGATTTCTTTCCAGCCTCGTTAGCTGTTAAAAAATCCACTAGGCTATATATTATCATTTGTGGCGTGGCCTAAGAAAAGTTTGTTACACTGTTAGAACAATAAATAAAAAAAAAAAAAAAACACTTATGAGGCTGTTTATCACAACTTTAAAAACAAATTTGGTAACAATGATGTATATATAATTATATAATAATAATTATACTGTTTCACAAAAATATAGATTACAGATTTGTGAAATATCTGGTATCTTATGAAATCCTATACCGGATGTGACAAACTCCCTTTTTTTTTTTTTTTTAGGTTTTCTTAAGCAAATCTTACTTTAGTAGTTTGCCACTGCAATCTCAACAGTTCTGCAATCTTACTATTCTCTAAACCAATGAGAAGCTATTTTCCGCCAAACTGCCAACAGAATTGAATTTGGTTATGTTATAATTATGAAACTGAGATCACAACCCCAAAGATACAGAAGCCAACCCTGGGTAACAATGTTACTAAAAAAAAAAAACAAAGGCGTTCTGGTGTGTAAATACCACCTCCATGATATATAACTCAAAATTTGATCTTGTCTACAGATATCTAGAGACTACCCTACTCAATGTCTTCTTTTTCTTTGCATTCACCGGCTGTAAACTTCAGAGGAAAGTTTTTGCTGTTCATCCATCTCTGAACTTTAAACTCGTTCCAGAACCCAAGTGTTGCATTGTTATCCGTTTTACAGATCTGACTTATTTGTATGCCTTCGAAGTCAGAGTGCATCTCCCTGAGGCAACAAACCAACGATATGCATACAAATAAGTCAGATCTGTAAAATGGATGTGCACGCAACACTCAGGTTCTGGAACCAGTCTAAAGTTCAGAGATGAGTGAACAGTGAAAACTTCCTGCTAAAGTTTACAGCTGGTGAATGCGAAGAAGCAAACCCGAAGCCCCCCTCCCCACAAACATTTTGTAAAAGGCAACCAATTAGCAGGTTGCTTAAACTGGATGTGTTGGGCTGAAAAGGCACCAATATTGCAGCCTAGCTGAAAACCCTAACACAATAAGATGCCAACAAACGCCCTGTTGAGAATTAGATTAACCTGAACTGAAAAGACTTGTTCCCTGTTCAAATTCTTGTTCGGGGAAAACAAAATGTGAACAATGAAACAGTTTTATCAAGCCACGCCACATGTAGTGCACAGTTGCAGCTGTGCAGATTGGGAACTTTGCTGCCTCTGTGTTAACAGAATAATCATAAATGCAAAAGTACTTGTATGAGTATCAAACAAAATTCTGGATGGTCACACCAAGGACAAATTTAACTCTTTCGGCACCAGCCAGGGCCTGACTTGATGAGGCCCTAGGCTATATAAATCTCTGAGGCCCCTACTGGTTTAAATTATGTCAGCTATCTCGGGAAAAGTTTAAAAAATGGATGATGGAAATATGCTGTTGTTAAATGTTTAGGCTGGCTTGATGTCAAGATTTGGGAGCTGATAAGCGAGCATCTACCCACCAGGCAACAGCAGCTCTACAAAAAGGGGGACGGGTGTTTGAAAAGTTGAAATAAAAACACTCCAGGCCCAAATAAAGAAATTAAGAACTGTATTTTTCCAAGGGGAAAAAAAGGCAAGGGTCTTATATTAATTTTCCTCCCCAAAGATGGCTGAAGCATTATTTTCATAATATGTCATTTTAATTTTTACATATGACTTTCTTTTACAAACATGTAATTAAAATTTGAATTATCCTTTATTTCAAGCTTTACTGTATTAATATTATGTAATAATATTTATTAATAACTCATTACCTTCAAATTCAATATGTCTGCCTCTGTTCCAACAGATGAACAAAATGCATCCTCTGGTTAACAGTTCAAACAAGGGCTTATAGTGTTGTGCTTTTATTACCCACCTTCTGAAAAATCATGTGAGGGTTTATATCCAGGTTAGGTCTTATTTTTAAGGGGAAAACATGGTAACAGTTTGGATGAATGAGTTAATGCAACAATTATTTGAATAAATTTGAATGTGACGACCTGGTACCGAAAGAGTTAAAATTAATGTCAGAGTGCAGTGCTGCGTAATTGAAATTGGATAAAACTATAAATATAATCACATGACCTAACCTGACTTGACGATGTAGTAGCCATCTGCACGAAGTATGTGAACATGCATGCTGTCAAAACACTGAATTCACCATTACAGAATTAACCACAGACCTGATGTCATGATTTCGCCTGATAAAAACTAAAACATTCACCTCATTAAAAACTAAAACACTGTTCACAGGGGTTATGCTTGTAGTAAAACATCGCATTTACCTCGTAAGACAACGGCAGATTGTAGCAACTATCACACAGTTGATTCCAAATACGAATCTCAGATGCATTCTGTGGGCATCCACAATGTTTGAAAACCTGGCAGAGAAAACAAGTGTGGGAAAACACAAGATTGTAACTATTTCAACTCCTTTTTTAAACAAAATGTCAAATGAGAAAATTCTCACTGGTGTTGCGGGCTGCCTTTGAGTTTGAACTATCTGTGAAGCAGGATCTATCATCTTGGGATAATTTGGCGAGGAATTCTGCAACATCTGGCTCCTTCTGCAGACTGGCCAAGCTTGTATGAGATGCACGTACCAGCTCAGTTTTAAGCAGATGGCAACGCTGCCTATAGAAATCGCGTTCTCTCATGGACGCATGAAGCTGCCGCTTTAGATCTGCAATCTTCTGAAGCAGGGATTTGTTTGTTATTTCCAACTCACTTTTCTGCTGCATCCTCTTAGAGCGACAATTCTGGGCATACCCTCTGTTTTTGAGGGTACGTCGCTTCTGCTTCAGCCGCTGCACCTCATTTTTGGGGCAGCCTTGGAGGCGTCGGTTCAACTCCCGGACTGGTAGGGACACCAGATCATCGTCATCGATAACCGAACTTTCTGGAGACAGAGGAGGACCTGGAGACCGGGTAGAGCTGCGTCTAGAAGTTTGAAATGAGGCGAAGGAGCTACTAGCTACACTTTTGGAATCGTCAACATCCAGTTCAGTGTCATCATCGTAATCCAAATCGAACTCATTATTGCCCCGACATGTAATGTCCTGAGGTTCAGACTTGATTGAAGGCGATACGGGATTGTGGACTTTGGTCGGTTCCAGCGATCGTAGAATGTCGTCCAAACTGGGTTTCACATCTTGGCTACTCACAAGCGAGGTCCCTCCTTCCGAAGAACATTGAGAGCCTAGTTTTAAGAACCAATCCTCGAAGTATCCTCTATCACCGAACGTGCTGCCAAAACTGGATAAGGACCGAGTTGGGGACGGGAGAGATGTCTGGGAAGGGGGTAAGATAGGCGCTGGGGACGTGGGTACAGGCAAAGTAGGAGAACTATGACCACTGCTGAAATTACCCACACTACCGGTAACAGCTGTCAGAGTTGGGCTGTCAGGTTCTTGTAGCGGCATGATGACCTGATTTGTGACCCTTGCGTCGGAACATGGGCCAGGCGAGGAGGCTGCACTGCTACTGCTGCTGTTATTACAGCACATCTCCAGCTCCGATTTCACCACTGAGCTTTGCAACTGCTGCAAATCATGGCCCTCCATAAACAGCTCGAAACTATCGATGTAACTTTCAGCTAGCTCATCCATGATATGTGCGCTAAAGTGCAGAGGCCTAAACGGTGTTTAAACTAAAAGATCTGTTTTTTTTTTGTTTTTGTTTTAGAGCCTGTTGGACTGTTGCCTTACTCCCCGAGACTAGGTCACCGCGAAGGCCGCACACGTACAGAGAGACACTGCCTTCTGAACGTCAACCGGTTTCCCTGTTAGCTAACACGAAATCCTTCGTTTGAAGTTTACGTGTGTTCAACAAAATACTCCACACAATTTAGAATGTGTTTCACAAAACAGTTGAACCTAACAAACACAATGTTCACGAATTATGGCGATGGTTTCGCCGGTAATTCAACCCTCGGTTCCGTCTCGACGTCTCCGCTCAGTCCAAGAGCTAAGGCAACGACGAGCACGGGAGGGATCCCCGCTCGCTTATATACTTCCAGTGACGTCACAACAACTATTTTTGGATCGATAAGGGAGTTAGCCAATCGCTGGGCTCAAAAAACAAACATTTCAGGCTGGCGGTTCAAGGCCTCGGGTGAGACCGAGGCTGGTGTCAGACGTGCTGGCTGATACCGGTTTGTGGGATGTAGGACGAAAGTCGAGCCGCTGGCGAGGGCTTGAAAGCCCAGTCTTGGACTTATTTGACATGGTTCGTCTTGTTCTTTCACAATTTCTTCTTCTCCGAGTGAGCGAGAGAGAGACTAGACAACAAGAAAGAGATTAGACAGTGACAGAGATCAAGACTAGAAAACGCAAGAGAGACTATACAACTAGAGAAATAGAGACTAGACAAGGAGAAAGAGAGAGAGAAACCAGACAACGAGAAAGAGAGAAACCAGACAACGAGAGAGAGAGAGAGAGAGATACTAGATAACGAGAGAAACTAGGCATTGAGAAAGATAGACACTAGACAACGATAGAGAAAGAGAGACAAGAGAAATATAGATAAGCCAACTAAACATCTCTCTCTCTCTCGTTGGAGAGAGACGAGACGACGAGAGAGAGAGAGAGAGAGAGAGAGGGAGAGAGAGAGATCAGCATGATCACCTGACAAGGGCTTGAGAGTTCAGTCTTAGACACATATGACATAGTTCGTCTTGTGCTTTCACAATATCTTTTTCTACGATTGTGTGTGTGAGAGAGAGACTAGACAACGAGAGAGAGAGAGAGAGAGAGACGAGAGAGAGAGACTAGACAACAAGAGAGAGAGAGAGAGAGGGTGCTATAGTCGTTACCACCATTGAGCTCCTGGCGAGGGCTTGAGAGCCCAGTAATTCACGTAGTTGGTCTTGTTTGTTTTTCTTCAGAGATTCCTCTTCTTCTTCAAGTGAGAGAAAGAAGAGAGAGAGAGAGAGAGAGAGAGACTTGACATCAATAAGAGAGAGATGGAGCTATGGTCGTTATTGAGCTCCAGGCCAGGGGTTTGAACATCTGACAGTCTACAAACAAGACAGATAGAGAGAGTCAGAGCTGCTCACCACCATACATAATTTTTACGGAGCGCAATCCTAGTTTAAGAGCATACTAAAAATAATTTTATTATATTATAGCTGTAAACTCCCGCGAATAGGTTCCGGTTGTTTGTCCACTTCTGGGCTTTCTTCTTATTCCAGAACTTGAGATTTGCCTGTACATCCGTTTTACAGATCTGGCTTACATGTATGCAGACTGTTAGTTCATCGCGTCTCAGGCAGATGCACTCCAGCTGTGAAGGAAACACCCCTAAGTAGTCGGCGTTTACGACATGCTTGTAACAAGTAAAGGTATAGGATCGTGCATATGGTACTGACTTCATATTATCAGAAACTGACTGGCACTCGACGGACAACCTCATGCCAGTCGCCTTTTCTTCCTATGACATCTGTTCTAGTTAGAATGACCACACTTCCCGTTGTCACCGCGACAGTCCGACAGTTTCGGTACTTTTATTAATATCCAACCCTAGATGACGTCACAGGACAGTCGTATATTTTAGAGGGTGGTAAGACTGGATTTCCCAGCTTTCTGATGCTTTTGACGACGACAAAACATCTAGAACTGACCCTAACCCCAACCCACCTACATCCCATTACTGCATGCAGTATGCAGCCTATCTACTACCCTCTGAAATATTAGACTGTCCCGTGACCTGTTGATTTCCCCTGTTTGTGGTATTATATTAATAAAGCAACCTCTTTCATAGGTGCATCCCGGTCGTTCCATCGGTTTACCGATTTACTGATTTAAGAATTGACATGGTAGCACCCATAGTCTATATACCCATAGGTGCTCCGTCTCCCGTAGCAAATGTCTCAAGTTGTAGATGCTGTTCTCGTAGCACACGAGAGGTAGATTGTAAACTCGTCGTTCACTTCCTCTCATACGTCCTCCTCGCTGATCCACACCTAATTACTCGTGCACACATTCTTGCACACGTTATTTCATCTAACCTTGTCTCTTCTTTTAGTTTTCGTCGGTGGTGTTCAGAGTGTTTATCTATTACACTAAACGGGTGTTTCCGTAGTTATAGCTTTTGTAGCCAGACAATTCCGCTCTTTCTTTTCCTCGCACTCCTGCATGTACCAGACAGTATATCCACGTAAATCCCTGTAATGGTAACATGCTGAGGCTTGGTATCCACTTATGCCCCATTTGCCCAGTCGGTACCTAACCCCCCCCCCCCTCCCCCATCAGACAGACAGACAGACAGACAGACAGACAGACGGACGGACGGACGGACGGACAGACAGACAGACAGGCAGATAGATAGATAGATAGATAGATAGATAGATAGATAGATAGATAGATAGATAGATAGATAGATAGATAGATAGATAGATAGATAGATAGATAGATAGATAGATAGATAGATAGATAGATAGATAGATAGATAGATAGATAGATAGATAGATAGATAGATAGATAGATAGATAGATAGATAGATAGATAGATAGATAGATAGATAGATAGATAGATAGATAGATAGATAGATAGATAGATAGATAGATAGATAGATAGATAGATAGATAGATAGATAGATAGATAGATAGATAGATAGATAGATAGATAGATAGATAGATAGATAGATAGATAGATAGATAGATAGATAGATAGATAGATAGATAGATAGATAGATAGATAGATAGATAGATAGATAGATAGATAGATAGATAGATAGATAGATAGATAGATAGATAGATAGATAGATAGATAGATAGATAGATAGATAGATAGATAGATAGATAGATAGATAGATAGATAGATAGATAGATAGATAGATAGATAGATAGATAGATAGATAGATAGATAGATAGATAGACATGCAGACAGACAAGGAGTGAGAAGACCTACACAAAAAAAGAAGGGTGGGAATATTTCACAAGTACTTGCACAACAAATGTATTTACAACAGCCAAAAACAATTCAACCCTCAAGTGTGTCGGTCCAAACCTAGGTCTGGGAGGAAACCGGAGGGAAACCTAACCATTTCTACAGGTCATCGCTATAAATAAATGTGGCCAACTTTTTCGTAAACCCCCACTGTCAGTTTATCTGAGGTCGGGCGCGCGCCGACACGCCGCTGTGCAGGGTTGCGGTACACACGTGTGCTTACTCTATACTCCAAAGGCAGAGAGACACAGGTCAGAACTTCCGAAATAGCGAGAAAACAACACACCGGTGGTATGAGCTCCACGGAAAACGGGGTGTAGTGTTAAATATTAAAAAAAATATTTTTTTTTTTAAGTTTTAGTTTAGTCGATGGATCAACATCATGGCACACGGGTGTAACCCAAAAGTGCTCCATTCTACTCTTAACTCAAACCCGAGTCTGAAGAATCTTAGCCCAGTGCACGAACTCCGCTTCACCAGGACCCTGAAATAGTTTTGGGTAGATTTTCCAACTCCAAATTTTGCCAGGGCAGCGCCGTTAGGCTAATCTTTTTTTTTTTTTTTGATTTCCAACTGCCAAGAGATTTTTTACGTGCGCAGCAAAACACACGGGCGTCTTGTCTTACTACCCAGAGACCAGGGGACATTTCTAGATGCCCATGTGAAAAAATTCCAGCCTTCACCGGGGTTTAAACCCGGGATTCCAGCTCTCGAGGCGGACGCCATACCTCGAGACCACTCAGTTCCCTCCCCCCCTTCCCCCTATTTGATTGAATAAATAAAAATCCTCAGGTTCAACCCCCCCTCGCCCCCTTTTCACTACTCCCTTTCGCCTACATCGCAACTTAGGAGTTGCGAACGCGCTTTGCGATGTTGGGTTCGATCCCAGCTGCGGACTGTTAGTCTTGCGTTGGTTTCAACAGCGGTACCGACATATGACCGTTCAGTAGGCAGTGGCAAACTACTGATCGTAAAATTATCCTAGAAAACCCACAGCAGCCACAAAATGCTGGGGTTAGTTCTGCAACGTCCTGTAAAGGATATGAAAGTAACTACACCGCAAAAGTGGCAAATACATACGAGTTTGAAGTTTGAACAACGAACGGATCTACATCGTGGCACACGTGGTGGTAACCCGTTCTACTTCTAACTCTTCTTAGTCCGAAGTGGCTCAGCGCAGTGCACGGACTCCGGATCTTGAAATATTTTGGATATATTTTAACTCCAAATTTTGCCCGGGCAGCGCCGTTAGGCTACTCTTTTTTTTTATTTCCAACTGCCTAAGGATTTTTTTTTTTTTACGTGCGCAACAATGGTCCGATATCACCACCCAGAGACCAGGGGGAAATTACTAGAAGACCACTAGAACAAGTCCCAGCCCTCATCAGGGCCTGAACCCGGGACCTCTAGCTCACGAGGCGGACACCATACCTCGAGACCACGCAGCCCTCTGCAAATACATGCAGTAAAGGCAGAACCAACCCCAGTATGTTTGAACTGTATGTGATTTCACTAGGCAATTTTACGCTCAGTAGTTTGCCATTGCCTCAGACAGTCGGCTGTCGAAACCATTGTCGAAACTTATTGTAGGCGGTCTGTCGTCAAACCGCCCGCAGATGAAATAGAGCTCAGCACTCCAGAATTTCTAAACACGTTAGTGG